ATATGAATGGAGTCCAATACGTCGATAACAATGTTTAACCGGAGATAAGTGTTAACCAGACATTGAGTAACCGGCCCTTAATATGTTAATTAGTGGTTAATTTTCATTTGCACACACGAGCCAAGTTTTTAAACTATTACCGTACGATTTCAACCGAGTGGATTGAATCGTGGTATTAAAAACTGGTGAAAAATAAAAATGATCTTAAATGATCGTGTGAGAATTTGTCTTCATATGAGAAGGCATATTCATAATTCGTGTCCAACCAAAAGTTGTAGAAAAACAATTTTAGGGCAGGTTGCTCAAAGCCTGGTTGACACTAATCCCCGGTTAAACATCGTTATCGACGTTACCGACACCATGTTATTTGCATGGAGCCGAAAACGTCGATAACGATGTTAATCGGTGATTAGTGTCAATCAGGCTTTGAGCAACCGGCCCTTAATTTGTTTCATTTCAGGATTTATTTTTGTTATATTTTTTATTTTCTTTCAGATTTTTAAACTCTGAATTTCTCTGTATGTACATAGTTTAAGAACTCATATGGAAAAATAAAATAAAAATATTACCTAAAATAACTTCAATTTGTCAACATAATTGTATGTATATTACATAAGTAAGTATATTTTTTGTACATCAATTTGTTAGCAACAGGAAATTCTCGCGCATGCAAAATGCCGCCGGCAAATGGAAATGAAAAAATTAGCCGACTGCGCATGCATACATTAATGCAATTTAATGAATTGGTACAATTCATTGATATGTATATGTATGTACGTATATATGTGTATGTGCATAGGTAAATATATACATACGTACATATGTTTCATTAAATTGTAATGAAATAGTTTTATTTAAAAAGTTCCACTTTACATGACTTTAGATAATTGCGGAAAAAAGTCGAAAAAATTGCCTTAGAAAATCTTATCAACATAGCTGAAACAGAAACATTCATACATGTTTGCAAAAATCAATTTGCAATCAGCAATGCAAAACAGATTTTCATTTGTAGGTGATTGACATATGTACATACATACATATATACGCGTTTTTACATATTTATGTATATACATATGTATCACGAAAC